GAGCCCCGGCATCTGTGAGGCCTGGGGCTCACGGCAGCCATGAGCCCCAGCGGCTGCGAGGCCCAGGGTTCAGGCAGCTGTGAGCTCCAGCAGCTGCGAGGCCCGGGGCTCAGGCCTCACTGCCACCATGGCCGGCAGTGGCAGCAGCAGTGGGGTGATGGGGATAGCACCTTTTCCTGATCAGCCTGGTCGCCTCCCACAGAGGGAGGCCAGACTGCGGCTTAGGCCCGCTCCCCATGGGATATCCCCTGAGAGCTCCCAGACTGTGAGAGAGGGCAGGCTGGACTGAGGGACCCTCCCCCCAGTGCACGTATTTTCATGCACCGGGCCACTAGTCCTATATAATAAAAGCCTAATATGCAAATCGACCAAACGGTGGAATGACTGGTTGCTATGATGCGCATTGACCACCAGGGGGCAGACGCTCAATGCAGGAGCTGCCCCCTGGTGGTCAGTACACTCCCACAAAGGGAGCACTGCTCATCCAGAAGCCAGGCTCATGGCTGGCGAGTGCAGTGGCGGTGGCGGAAGCCCCTCCCACCTCTGCGGCAGTACTAAGGAGCAGCAAGCAGGCAAGCGGTAAGGAGGGAGGGGTCCTGGACTGTGAGAGGGCACAGGCCGGGCTGAGGCCCCCCGACCCCCAGTGCACGAATGTTGTGCACCAGGCCTCTAGTATTTTCTATAAAATAAAGTCCTTTTAAACTTAAATTTTAGGTTTTTATATAGTACTGGAGGCCCGGTGCATGAAATTTATGCACTGAGGGGGGGGTGTCCTTCAGCCCAGCCTGCACCCTCTCCAATCTGGGACCCCTCAAGGAATGTCCAACTGCCCATTTAGGCAGGAATCAGGCCTAAATGGGCAGTCGGACATCCCTCTCACAATCCAGGACTGCTGGATCCCAACCGCTTGCCTGCCTGCCTGCCTACCTGATTGCCCCTAACCACTTCTGCATACCAGCCTGATCACCCCCTAACCGCTCCCCTGCCAGCCTGATCAAAGCCTAACCGTTCCCCTGCTGGCCCGATCACCCCCAACTGCCCTCCCCTGCAGGCCTGGTTGCCCCCAACAACCCTCCCCTGCTGGCCTGGTCCCTCCTAGCTGCCCTCCCCTGCTGGCCTGCTCTCCCCCCAATGGCCCTCCCCTGCAGGCCTGGTCCTCCCCAACTGCCCTCCCCTGCCGGCCTGGTCCTCCCCAACTGCCCTCCCCTGCAAGCCTGGTCCTCCCCAACTGCCCTCCCCTGCCGGCCGTCTTGTGGCCACGTGGGGGTGGCCATCTTTGACCACATGGAGGCAACCATCTTGTGTGTTGGACTGATGGTCAATTTGCATACTGGTTGTGACTAATTAGCCTATCAGGGTTAATTAGCATATCCCTCTCTTATTATATAGGACTAGTGGCATGGTGCACAAAATTCGTGCATGGGGGTTAAGGGGTTCCCACAGCCCAGCCTGCACCCTCTCCAACTGGGGACCCCTTGGGGGATGTCCTACTGATGGCTTAGGCCTGCTCCCCCTGGGAGCGGGTCTAAGCTGCAGTCTGGCCTTCCTCTGTGGGAGGCTACCAGGCTGATCAGGGGAAGGCACCGTCCCCATCCACCCCACTGCTGCTGCCACTGCCAGCCATAGTGGCTGCAAAGCCTGAGCCCCAGACCTCGCAGCCGCTGGGGCTTACGGCTGCCTGAGCCCTGGGCCTTGCAGGGATCAGGCCTAAACCAGCGGTCGGACATCGCTCTCACAATCTGGGACTGCTGGCTTTTACCTGCTCACCTGCCTGCTGGCCTGATCGCCCCTAACTGCCTCTGCCTTTGCCCCTACCACCATGGCTTTGTCTGGAAGGAAGTCGGATGTCTGGAAGATGGCCGGTTGACCCGGTCTAATTAGCATATTACCCTTTTATTAGTATAGACTAGAGGCCTGGTGCATGAAAAATTTGTGCACGGGGGGAAGGGAGGTCCCTCAGCCCGGTCTGCATCAACGCCAGCGTCCCTCGTCCCGGTCTCTGGCCAGAGGCCTCTCCCCTCCCTCCGTGAGGCTGGGGCACAGAAGCCAGGGGCAATGTGAGCCAAGTGTCCCACTCCAGGCCTCTGGCCAGAGGCCCCACCCCTCCCTCTGCGCGGCCGGGGTATGAACACTGGACTCGTGTCGTTGGGGGCGACGCAAGCCCAGCATACCGCACCCAGGCCTCTGGCCAGAGGCCCCTCCCCTCCCTCTGTGCAGCCAAGGAGCAGATGCTGGGCTCGCAGTGCCAGGGCAATGCCACCAGTGTCCCGCCCCAGCTGCTATGGGTGCCGCCATCGTTTGTTGTGGAGTGATGGTTAATTTGCATATTACTATTTTATTAGATAGGATAGATTATATAGAATAGGATTGCTTAAATGCGGGGGGGAAAGCCTTTTTCAGCAGGAGGAGATGCTCTTGGCAGACAAAAAATCACATAATCCCTATATCCGGACTGATAGCCAACCATATGCACTATACTGCCAAAGCAGTCATTAAAAAAATGAACCTCTTTCTTACACCTTACACCAAACAGCTTTTGCCCTTAAAACCCCTCCTCATCCCCCACCTTAGGTTCTGCCTTTGTAGTTCACCCAGATTAGGTTCTGATTGGTCAGTTTCTATGCCAGTCAGCATCAAAAGCTCCATCTACTAGAAAGCCATTGGCTCCTCACACTTCACCCATATTAGGTTCTGATTGGTCAGTTTCGATGGCAGGCAGGGTCAAAAGCTCTGCCTCCTACGCAGCCATTGGCTCCTGGCACTTCACCCAGATTTGGTTCTGATTGGTCGGTCTCTATGCCAGACAGTATCTCCGGTCCTATCTCTGGGCCTGATTAAAGAGGTGGGGCTGATCAGCAGCCCCGCAGAGGCGCAGAGAGAAACAGAGTCATGGCTGCTGGTAAAGCCCCGAGAGAAAGAGAGAGGCTATGGCTGATCAACAGCTGCCATTGAGGCTGCAGATCAGACCCTGCCTCTCTCTCTGCAGGCCTCTCTCCAGGCCTAATCTGCAGCCCCTCAGAAGTCAGTGCTGGGTCACCTCAGCAACCTAGCACTGACTTCCAGTGTTAGGTTGAGCCTTCGGTCGTTATGAACCCTAGCTCATTATATATATACTAGAGGCCCGGTGCACAAAAATTTGTGCACTTGGGGGGGGGGGTCCCTCAGCCCGGCCTGTGTCCTCTCTCAGTCTGGGACCCCTCGGGGGATGACCACCTGCTAGCTGAGGCCTGCTCCCCGGGGGATTGGGCCTAAGATGGCAATCAGACATCCCTCTGGCAGCCTGGCAGCCCTTGGGGGATGTCCACTTGCCAGCGGGGAGCAGACCTAAGCTGCAGTCGGACATCCTTAGCACTGCTGAGGAGGCAGGAGAGGCTCCCACCACCACCACTGTACTAGCAGCCATCAGCCTGGCTTGTGGCTGAGCAGAGCTCCCCCATGTGGGAGCACACTGACCACCAGAGGGCAGCTCCTGCATTGAGCATCTGTCCCCTGGTGGTCAGTGTGTGTCATAGTGACCAGTCATTCCCAGTCTTTCTGCTGTTAGGGTCAGTTTGCATATTACCCTTTTACTATATAGGATAGAGGCCTGGTGCACGGGTGGGGGCCGGCTGGTTTGCCCTGAAGGGTGTCCCGGATCAGGGTGAGGGTCCTGCTTAGGTGCCTGGCCAGCCTGGGTAAGAGGCTGATGGCTGTTTTCAGGCTGCTCGCACCCCCTTTAGGGTGGGGGTCCCCACTGGGGCACCTGGCCAGCCTGGATGAGGGGCTGATGGCTGTTTTCAGGCTTCCCGCACCCCCTTCAGGGTGGGGGACCCCACTGGGGCGCCTGGCCAGCCTGGATGAGGGGCTGATGGCTGTTTTCAGGCTGCCCGCACCCTCTTCAGGGTGGGGGTCCCCACTGGGGTGCCTGCCAGGCTGGATGAGGGGCTGAGGGCTGTTTTCAGGCGGGCCAAGCCTGCAACTGAAGCTCCCAGTCTCTCCTTTTTTTCTTTTTTCTTTTCTTTTTATTCTGGGATTTATTTACCTTCTGTAATTGAAACTTTGTTGTGGCTCCAGCTCAGAGGCCGGCTGGCTGAAAGCAGGTATCTGGGGTTTGTTTAGCTTCTATAATTGCAACATTGATGCTTAGACTGGAGTTCAGAGACCGGCTGCGGCAGGCAGGGAACCTTGGCTTCCTCCATCACTGGAGCAAGCAAGCCTCCTGTTCGCTTCAGCTGCCTGGCTGCTGGCCGCCATCTTTGTTGGCAGTTAATTTGCATATTGCCCTGATTAGCCAATGGGAAGCGTAGCAGAGGTATGGTTAATTACCATGTTTGTCTATTATTAGATAGGATATAGACTAGAGGCCCAGCACACACGAAATTGTGCGCGGTTAGGGTCCCTATGCCTAGCCTGGCCTCAGTCACGTGGCCTCTGCCGCCCTGCAACAATACGTGAAGCTCCCCACCCCGGGACATTCCGCAATGGTCATGGCCCCTCGAATGCTTCGCGAAGCTCCTCCTGCCTTGCCACTGCCCCACAAGGCTCCTCCGACCCTGCCACTGCCCCGTGAGGCTCCCCTCACCCCACCACTGCTCCATGATGCTCCTCCACCCTGCCACGCTCCACGAAATTCCCCCTGCCCCGCCACTGCTCTGTGAGGCTCCTCCCGCCCCACCATGCTCCAGGAAATTCCCCCCGCCCCACCTCTGCTCCAGGACCCAGGACTTACTTCTACCACAGGTGGCCGGGACCCAGGACAGCAATTCAGCCCACTCACCAGTCCCCACCCACCAGAGCCTGCCTCGCGTGCAGCCTGGCATTCGGTCGTCCCTCTGGTCATTTTGGATGTGACAGACCCTGGCTCTTTATATATAGATGTTTATATTACTGAGCATACTACCTAGTATATAATATATGTACAGTGTGGTGGTTCTTTTGATTATCCTGTTTTTAAAGGGGAAGTGGGAGGTATTAGAAAGTCAAGTTCATTGAAGTCACAGCCTTGCTATATGGCATCTTACAAAAGCAAGTCTAAGACTACTGAGCACAGTGATGACATCATGGCAAAGGAAAGAGCAGTTACCAAATTGGGGGTGGTCCTGCATAATTTTGTAGATGATTTCTGAGGCTCTGGCACCTGGGGCTTCGGCCTGTAAGATCCTGTTGGTAATCTGCAGCATTCCCCCTTCCGGAACCCACACCATTGAATTGGCCACAAGCCGAAGACCTTTTTCATTCTAGAATAAGGAGAGAGTACAGAATTAGGTCCAAGCAAAATAAGAAAATATCAGTCCTTAAAAACATGTTATCAGGTACCACTGCTGCTAATGATTGTCTAGTAAGAGAGATTCATGGCTTTAGAGTCACACTATGAACTACAGTTGCTCGAACAACACAGGTTTGAACTGCATGAGTCCACTGATAAATGGTTTTGTTTTTACAATTGACCTGTGCTATCATTGACTGCTGCAGTTCAAACTGTGTTGTTCAAGGGTCACCTTGACAGTTAGGAATCTGCAACCAAGGTCAGGAACCCCTATGCAAATAGCTGAATTAAGTAATTCACGAAGTTTTGATTGTCAGGTGGTCAGCACCCCAGCACCACATTAAGGGTAAACTGTATATGTGTGTACACTATGTGTATGTATATATATATACACACACACACACACACACACACACACACATATATGTATTTTTCTTGCATTTTCTTTTAATTTATCATGAGAAAATAACTTACTTCTTTTAGGAAGACTAAGTCTCTTCATTGCTTTCTATCATTTGTCCATCTACCTGTCCTTCCATTCTCCCTATCCATCCAAATTCAAGAACTATTCGTTCAGCTCTTTTGCTAGAGGGCTAAGGTACATAAGGATGGCTGAAATTCGACTTCAGTTTCAGAACTGACAGTCTGGTGGGGAAGACATGAATAATTATGATGCATCACAAGTGATGCTCAATAAGAAGCTTAAGCAGAATGCTATGAGTGAATAAGGAAGGCAATCAATCAATTTTTCTTTTTCATGTAGATGTTTCTTTTAAAAAAAATTTTTTTATTGATTTCAGAAAGGAATGAAGAGGGAGAGAGATAGAAACATCAATGATGAGAGAGGATCATTGATTGGCTGCCTCCTGCACATCCTACACTAGGGATCAAACCTGCAACCTGGCATGTGCCCTGACTGGGAATCAAACCATGACCTCCAGGTTCATGGATTGATGCTCAACCACTGAGCCACAATGTTTTTTTTTCTCTCTCTCCCTCTCCTTTCCTTCCTTGCTCTAAAATTCAATAAAAATATTTTAAAAAAATAAAAATTGGTAGTTATAAAATAGTCATGGGAAAGTAAGTAAAGCATAGGAAATAGAGTTGATAATTCTATATAATAAAAGCCTAATATTCTAACTGTCCGGTCGTCCATTCAACCAATCAAAGCGTAATATGTTAATGATATACTAAGGCCACTCAACCGCTCCCTATGACATGCACTGACCACCAGGAGGCAAACGCTCTGACCAATAGGTTAGCTTGCTGCTGGCATCCGGCCAATCGCGACTGAGCAAGATGGCCAGACATGCGCTGGAGCCCTCCTGTGTTCCCACCCTTGGCTGGCCAACCTGT